TCTAACATAAATATTCCACATTGCGCAGAGAACGATCCGAAGGCGAATAGCAGAGTTTCTCTGTGAAATGTATTTGCAGCATTTGCCATTAAAACTCCCGAGTAAATACCAAAAAAGCAGGAGGATGCCTCTTTAGAGTAGTTCAATATTAGCCACTAAATAAACAATTTCCTGGGCTTTTCCTAGTTGAGCATATATATCGGAAAATTAGCATATGCAACCCCTGATTCGTAGCTCCCACAACAACAGCCAGCCGACAGATACGATAATTCTGTGTCTCTTTCTAAAAGCACGAAATTTGCATATCAAACGCAGCAGAAAAACAACCAAAAAGCTGGAAAACAACCGCCGCGCAGTCGCCTTTCATAACAACAACAACAACAACAAGTACAACTACAACTACAACCACAGACATGTAACTAATGCATGGACAATGTTTTCTTCCACTTTTTTTTCTCGCTTTTGCAAAATTTGCGTATTCTGAACGATACGAAATTAAGTAAATTACAATATTGTACGATGATTGTCGCAGTCGTAGTCGGAGTTGTTGTTGCCGCGTTTGCTGGGCTATATTTGCGTGAAATTATTATGGCAATCGATTTGGGACCACACACACGCAGTTGTCGCGGAAAAGCGGCGAAGGAAAATAGTCATAAAACTGGCGGTAAAATTATTATTGATTACTCATACGCCGCATGTAACGGGCTAATGAAAACGGGCTAACTGCGATGGGCTTTCTACGAATAATCGATAACGATGACGATGACGCGATCGCCAGTTAAAGATAGCAATAGCCAGCAATTATTTTCGTCATAAGTCAGCCAATGTGGCGACGACTCTCCGCTGCACTCGGCTTTAACCTCAACTCGAGCCTCGGCTTTCGGCCACCGACGCTACACTGCTGCAAAGGGGTTGGGACAAGTTAAGAAGTTTGCTAAGTAAGAAGATTTATTTTACCACCCTAGGGAACCATCTCTTTAACCATCTCTTACGTAAAGAGATTTCAGCTATAGAACATTAATGGTATCTCTAAAGTTGTTACTAAAAACATATACTTTCGCTTCCTTAGAAATGAAAACAAAAGCTTGGCGAATTTCCCCCTTTTCTCCCAGTGCACTGATGTTGTTGTGCTGGTTTTTTCGCGCTCAGTCGCCTGTGTGAGTCTGCTCAGCCCGCGTACATATATATAATTGTTGCGCTTCGCACACAAGCTTCCAAATAAGGGACGGCACATGTGAGCTGAGGAAGCTATAACTATCGCTGCAGGCTACGCAAATCGCTGGCGTTTCCACTTTCGCATAGATTTCGAGGGAAACCAACGCCTGCCGTCGATTTGAAGTTCAGCCCGTTGATGCAACCGTCACAAAAGTGGTGCAGTTGTGCCAGGTGGTTGACAAGTCGCCGTCGCCATCTCCGTCGTCGTCGCCGGTGGTGCTGCTGCCCCAAAAGCGATCGCCGATCGATGGCGGTGGAGCTGATGGTGGTGGTGGTGGCGACCAGGAGTCGGCTGTCGTGCAACATATGGCAGCGATGACAACGCATGTTAACAGCTTTTTAAAGTCGTTGCACAACGCTGGCGGCACAGCAAGAACAATAAGCCGTTGCCGTTGCCGTTGCCTTTGCCACAATTCCCAGGCCGATAAGCCCACCGAATCGATGTTTTTATATGTATATTTAACCCCGCGTGCCACAAAGGATGCCAAATTTGGCTGCAATCCGATATGAAATGTCCCAAAAACTGCAGACAGGAAATCTCACGCGTGCCACCAGCCAACAGCTACCAGCCACCAGCAGCAGCATTGGCCCACTGGAGCGGATGGAGCTGGAGTATATTATCCAAAAATGCGGTCTGGCGTGCCTTTGAATTAAGGTATCGATTTAGCCTGCGGTCGGTCATCCCAGTCCGTCAGTTCAGTTGAGTTGAGTTCAGTCCAGTCCAGTCATTTTCATTCATTGTTGGCTCGCGCTCATTGTTGGTGTGAAATTCAGCACAACAGCAACGTCGCAACTGCAACTGCAGCAGCAACATCAGCACACAGCACAGAGCAGCAACATCACAACATCGCAACAAGTGGCTGCGGTTGCAATGAATCCGCATAACAGACATACAACAAACGGACGGACGGACTGAAACTCTTAAAATGCGGCAAAATATTTCTCGGCTGCCGCACTCTGCCACTTTAGCTGCTGCTGCGCCGTTGTTGTGCCACAAAAATACTTTTTAAATGCGCTGAAGCGTCAAGTCAGCCCAGCTTTCAACGGATACGCACAGGATCAAGTGTTATAAATGTTAATTCGCAAATAATTGCAGCGAAGGCTTCGGGAGAGCCTCGTCGGATGGCTTAATCGTTGCCAATCAGACGACGGGGCTAAGGTTGGGCCCACGAAAAATGACTTTGGCCAGAGTTTAATTGAAAATTTATGGCACTTTCATTAGCGCCAAGTGGCATCGCGGTACGCGTACTAGGTTCTGGCCCAGCGCAATCTTCGGGCTTAGGAAGCGGAGAGAGAATGTTTATTCCAATGTTACTTAAATGTATCACCGAAGCTGTGTGGATTTCAACATTTGATTTTATTGTGGGCAGGAAATGAGCTGAACCAGCCGAACATCGATTGTTGTTAACTTTTGTTAACCGTGCGGACTGTGGGTAGAAGTCGGCTTTTGCCCCGCTTCATGTGGGAAGTCCGCGTGTGCTTCATTATATAATGAATTGGAATTGGGAGATGGGCACAATCGCAGTCCCAAGCTAAGCAGACGCCAGCTCAAAGTTTTGCCTAGAATTTGTTACTACACATGTTTTTCTTCTTTCAAAGTACAGTTTGGCCGGAGTTCTGCCGGAACTTGCCACAGATTTAGATGGCCCAGAGCTGGGAAGGCAGCCAAGTTTGTAATCATTGCAAAAAGTTTGACAATATTTGTCAACACTTTATTGACCTCGCTTGTTATTTGGAAAATCGTTGAAAACCATTAATTAAACAAACAAATAGCAGTGGAATCTGAGGTAGTAGAAAACTAGAAACTATGTAGGGTCAGATTCAGAAAGCATTGCTGCTACATTTTCAAAAGATTTTGAGGAAAAGAAACTACTAAGAAAATCATGTCCGACTAAATGTTAGAATAGTTTCATGCGTCTTTCTCTCGTTAATTTCTAGTTATGTTATCGCAACATTTTGTGGCACAATTAGGCAAACATCTTCATAGGAGAATCCACACTATGAGGCAACCAGACTCGGGAAAAGGAGAAATATTCCCAGCCATAAATTGGTCAGTGAAGCGGAGCTGCCTTTGCCTATATAAGTAGCTAAGGCGGGGAGCGGTACGGCGAAAAAGCCATAAGTTTCCTCCAAATCGCTGCCTCCGCCACGCTCCACTGAATGGGCGTTGCATTGGGCGTGGCCCGGCGGCGCTAGAAGAGCCATGGAGAAGGGGAAAAGTGGAAGAGGGGGAAGGTCGCAGAGATTTCGACGTGGATAGCCAAGAATTTTGATTAACTTGGAAAATCATTGGAGTAAGTCGGCGGGGGATCGGGATTGGCATTGGTACTGGTATTGGGAAGGGGATTGGGCAACAAACCGCCGAGGCAGATAGACTCTAAAGCACACACAATGTACGCATTATTTGTTTGCATTGCGGCCCAATAATTGCTTAACTAAATGTGAGTCCTGCTGAAAGGCCAAAAGCGCCTCGTTAAGGTCTCAGTCTGGCTTTTAAATAATCACAATGAAAGCAACAGGGCCAAAAGCAAGACAGGCCAACTCGCAAAAAAGATTGGAAAAAAAAACACACAATACAAAGAAATACGAAACGAAAGAAAAGAAAAAACGCTCACAAATTGTCATTTCTTAACCTTTTCAGATTGCGAAGGCGGCGGCAGCGGCGCAGAAGCAGAAGCAGAAGCATCAGCATCGGGAGTCGGAGGCTCCGAGTTGCCAATGGAAACGGCCAAGTGGCCAAGTATACAAGTATCCCAGTGGCCGGTCGGCGGTCGGCGGTCGCCAGAAGTTGCCGACTCACAATGTGTGTGCGCAAAGGCTTTAAGAAATGCCGAATTCCAGAAGCCGCAGTACAATCAGTTGAATTAAAAAACGAGCGCACAGACAGAGGACGACGGCTGGATGGGATTCGGGTTGGGGATGGGGTTCTGCAGTTCCTGGGGGCTCTGGAGGATCGCCGGCGATATCATCGCGTGGTGAGCGCGGGCTAGGAAATTAAGAGGACATTGTGGCGGCATGCGGTTAGAACTCGCAGCGGCGGCTTAAACACAAAATCCGCGGAGGAGATTCCTTGCGTGGCTGCGTTGTTGGTGGCTTTTGGACAGCTGGACGCTGGCTGACAGAGGTCGCCCTCGTACGTAATCGACGAGCATTGCAAATGCTTTTGTCCTCCGCCTGCGTCTTGTGCTGCGCACGTGGCCATGTTGCAACTGTTGCAAGCACAGCAGCAGCAGCAGCAGCAACAGCAAAAGCCAAGCAGCAAATCATTGAAATGTCGTTAGAGGCTCGAGCGGCACGCAGCTTCGATAGTCAACGAAACCGCAAAATGCTTTTAATTTCTCAAACTGATATGCACCCGTGCTCCCACTGCCGAGGAGGGGAACTTGGGCCAGTGGTTCATTTTGGTTTTTTCTTTTAGGTAAATGGGTAAGAAGGCTCAATGATGGGGCATTGAAAAGGTTAAGATCAGAACCTTAGTTTTGATCAACCAAGTTTGAGAAGTAATCACAAACAGAGTTTGCAAACTCAGGGATAGTGAAACTAATATCATGTCAACGCTAAACACAAATCAAATTTTGAAATAAATACGAAATCGTAAAAGCCAACAAACTTGCAGCTTTTCTTACTGGCGGGGCTTCGTGGGCGGTTCGGACGATGATGCGCAGGTGAGCGACCATAGAAGGCGATCTATGTAGCCAAGACACCCGCGCAGACTGATGGATCGCACTCTCGATCGGAGCAAGGTATATACGACTTACAAATGTATACATAATGTGAGCCAGCAAATGTTGGCTAACAGCAAACAGCAAACAGCAAACGGCGAACAGCCCACTGCATGTCGGCAATTAACCTTGGTTGGACAAAGAGTTGGCGGCGGCAGAACGACCTACAGCAGCAGCGGTACAAGTTATGGATTTTATTTTATCAGTCAGCTGGCAGGCAGCTACCAACGGCTGCACAGGAAACAATCGGAGGGGCTTGGACTTGAGCCACTTTTGACCTTTAGATTTTTGATAAGCCATCGGAAATACAAAGCTTCAGTACTTATTTCTTAACAAAAGATGTAAAAGGTTGTGCGAGAAATATTTTCGGTTTAAGGTTACCTCCCTTTTTTTGAGTGTAGAGCAACATCTGATGACCTGAGCCGGCGTTGGTGTCACACCCACAACATTTTGGCGTTCATTCATCGGCCCATGCTGAATGGAAAAACTGAGTTGGGGAAAAAGAGGGGCGAGTCGAGCGGAATGGGACGCGGATCGTGGCACACGTCATCGGGGCAGCCAAGAGGCCAGTGGTGCCTACGCCAAAGCTTTTGGCATTGAAAAGTACGAGCCACAAACGCGATTTGCATGCCAAGCCAGGAGAAAACAGAGGGGAGCTCGCAGACTCGCAAACTGACTGACTGGCTGACTGGCTGTTGGTGCATGACGAGATTCAATGGTGGCTCTGATCGATTTATGAACTCGTCGCCAGCATTGTTGTCATGACGTCACAAAGCCCCCGGGTGAAGCCCCCGCAGCCAAAACTCTTTCATTCGGGGTCTCTATGGGAGAAGCGGAAGCTCTTTGCAACATCGAAAGGAAAACATATCGAAATCAGAAATTCATTCATGGAGAGCCGACCCACTCGCCAGCTTGGATTATTACCAGCCGTGTGTAGGCTAACTAGAAACTCTGGGCTCTGGCTCTGGCTCTGGGCTCGGGCTTATCGCGGTGCTCTTAACCTTGCTCTTGAAACGGCTGGAAATATGTTTGGGTTCTCCGCTCGGCGGGCACTTTTACATTATTCTGCGTCGGTGTTTTTAGTTTTTAGTTTGTAGTTTTCGTTTTTCGTTTACTGTTTATTATTTTATAATATTGCGCTAAATAATATATATATATATGTTTCTCTTGTATAGACACTATTTGTGGTTGTTTTTTAAACATATTTCGATATCTTAGTAGGTAAATTGCTTTAGGGTTATTCGATTTACGTCTTTTGTTTTGCTTCGGCCATTGCACGCTCTATTAAATAATAAATTTAACTAGTATTAAAGAATTTACTCGGCTTTCTGTTTGACAGAAAAGTGTGTCTCGGTAACTAAATTATGCGCGTCTGCTGAGCGTTTTCTTTAACGGAGTAAACATAAAGTAATAATTTAAATTAAAGGGGTGAGAGAACGTGCTTTGAGCTGTTTTAATTTGGTTTTTAAGTTTAGGTATAGGTACAATAAATATTAGTAGAAAGGGCGAAACAAGCAAACAGCTCAAAGGTGAGTAGGTGGCGGCCGTGTTGCATGGAGTAACTGGGAACGGATAACTTTTGAGCGTTCGTCATGCAACACTCCGATTAGTAGGTGTCAATAAAAGCCAATTGGATCGATCAATAAACATAACTAAGGGGCGGTAAATACTACTAACATTAGGCTAAACGAATCCGGAAAATACGCTTAAACTTTACGGAGCACGCTCATCACACTCGCATTCACCCTCTCTCACTCAGGAAATGGCCGCCGGCGCATTCGACATTTGTTTTACATTTATTTGCTATCAACTTGTTAACTAAGTTTCGTAAACGCACTGGAGGAGCTGTTTACCCTTTAGACTCTGTTCAGCAAATCTTTGCGGAAAGTTGCCTCCTCCAGCTGGCCGACTTTCCCTTCCTTCCACTAAGCTGGCTATGGTATTGCACTTATGGTTTAAGTTTTAAGGACTAACTAAAGCAGTCTCGGCTGTGTCTCGATGTGTCTCTAGTGGTTCGGTAGAATGGCACTGGATTGGAAGCTGCAGCTGATGCGACAATTGATCTATTGCTATGGGGGTACTGGGGTGCACTTGGGAGGAGCTGTAGCTTTGCTATGGCACAGTCGCCTTTAAGTAGAGTCTTGACTAGTATACGAAAAAATGTAAACTACACATTAATAAAACACAAAACACAAAACACAAACACGACGATCTGCGATTTGCGATCTGCTATTTGCTATTTGCGATCTGCGACAAACAAGAACAAAACGAGCGGCGAGATCGTATTGGCCATGGATCCGAAATACGAGAATCGAAGTTCGATCGAGCCATTTGCTGCACTTTGGATCTGCTAAACATATAAACTGCTGTCTAACTAACTGGCTTGGTTTTTGTGCGGGAGAACGTCGAGGAGTGGTCTTTTGGTCAAACAGAACTTCTACCTAATTAAGTGATACAGTGCAGGGGACAAGCTTTTCGGTTGGTCTTATGAGAGGCTTCATTAACTGGCTTTTATTTTCTCAGATCTCATTTTGTAGTAAATTTTAAAGGTGCTTCAATTTGGGATCATGAAATAAACTTAGATTTATGTTTCAAAAGTCAATAACTAGGAAAATAATCTGTAAAAGTAAAAGCCAGAGTAAAAGATCTAACCGAGATTACCATCCTATAAGCCTATCTTAAGTTCAGGAACTGATACTGAAAGCTAAAGTCTGGAGAGGATCACCTAAGACGCTCTCTCCGCACCAACCAAGTCCCAGATATTGCCTAGAGAATCCTAGCCAGAAACCTAGCGCTGCGCATGCGTGTGGGACATGTGCGAGTGCGTCGAATGCGGCGGCGGCACGTGCGGCACGTGGGCATGGTGCCCGTGGCCGCCGTATTGGGCGTGGGAAAGCGGCGAGGCCTGGCCGCCACTATAGCCCGACTGCATCAGGCTCTGCTCGAGGCTATAGTGCGAGGGCGGTGCCGGCGGGTGACCCAGATGAGCGTGCCCGTGGTGACCGTATATCAATTGTCTTACTTTCGAGTCCTCGTCGGCGATGTTGTAGCTGAGCTCCGTCTCCTCGAACCCGGTGGCCGACATCCGCTGGTCGCCGCCGCCAACGCTGGGCGGATCCGGCGAGTTGAGGCAGGTCTGGATGAGCTGCTTGCCCGCCTCCGAGGTGATCATCGGCTGCAGCTTGCGCGTGGCAAATGTGTACACGTGGCCCGTCTCGCTGGCCACCAGCAGCATCACTTGCGTCCCGGTCAGCGTGGACAGCTCGTAGGCCTGAAAGAGGAAGGGAGAGCAGAGGATCGTGTTAAGTACTCGATGCTATCGGAATCGGTATCGGTATCGGGTATCTGCGAGCCAACTGGCGGACCAGACTGGCGAAGCGTGTGTTGCCCGAGCGGCACATAAATTTACCCACCAAACTATGCGATTATGTTGCAGCGATAAGAAGCGTTAAGCGGGACCTCGAATGTGCCGGACTTTAAATTACCAGAGATGCCAGCGTGATTTAGTAAGTTGTACTAAGTATATATTAGCTAAAACCTAACTATAGTCGGACACGAAATAAGACTTGAGAGATGTCTTATATCTGTTACCCAGAAGTACTACTCGTATCATCACTATTCAATATCAATGGAAAGAGTACTTCGATTTTAAGTTTTTCCTCTTCTTAATGGAAATATTTATTATTAATTTAAGGACCCACTAAGGGAACCCACTAAGGGGACCCACTAAGGGGACTCCTTCCCACAATCGTACATGTTTTGTAAAACATCTTTAATCTCCAATAAAATAAGTAGATCAAGGCAACCCCATTTCGTAAGTCTATGCCGGAGAAATCACTAAGTCAAACCCTTCCTTTTCTCCCATCACGCCCACGCAAAAGACCCGAAAGTCACGCGAGCATCGCGATGGAGTTCCTCATGGAGCCGATATCACCTCCCCGACTGCTTCTGGCTCTGCACATTAGACGGTAGCCTAAGCTGCCTATCAACAGCTCGTAATTACTATAAAAGCGATAAAGTCGCTGTCGGTCTGGCTGGCAACAGTTTCTGCCGCTTTCCGCCACTTTGGCTGCCGTGAGTCGAAAAACACAGCGCATAAATAACTGGCGGACCGAGAAGCAAACGCTCCAGGACCATTTATTAATATTAATGAAATTGTTGTACACATTGTTGGGCATTGCGATGGGCATTGAGCATTGGGTATTGGGTATTGGGGATCGCATCGGAACAGATCGGATTGGATGGGATCGGATTGGGTTAGCCCCACTCCATCCGACATCGATTGGCTGCCAATTTTATGTGTAACATGTGTAAATGCAAACAATTGACACGGTCCGAAAGCGGAATCTGAATCGGATTTCGATTATTCTCGTTGTGATTCCGATTCCGATTCTGGTTCTGAGTAGGTGTCGATTGTATGCCTAGGTAGCTGCCCGGGCAACCGCGAACAGGCCAACAATTCATGTCAATTTGAATTTCGAACAAAGACAAAAGGACACGACTCGGATTCGGGCGAGGATTGGGGTACGAAAGCGTTGACAGGACAAGAAGGCAGCCCCAGAGACCGCGCGCTGGCTGCTCCCTCCAGATGGAGAGTCATTTGTTAGAAGCCGATTGTTGCCTGTTTGCCAGTTTCCCCTTGGTGCCCCGAGTGTTGTATGTTGCTGAGGCTACGGCCTGTTGCATGTGGCCAAAAGGCGAGCCGACGTGGAGCCTCTTGGTCCGGCTTTTTTCTGGGGCTTATCTGGGCACAATCTGCCGACGAGGCTGGGGCTTTACCTTCCAGCACGGAAGCTGATCCCCCGAAAACAATTCCCAAGCCCATGCCTCGTGATTTCAATTTAACACCTTTTGGCGGCATTTTGCGCCCCTGTGCCCTTTTGGCCATGGCCAATTGTTGGGAACTTGTCGATGGCTTGTTCGCTGTGCATTATGCAGAAGCCAGAAGCCAGAAGCGAAAGCCCGGATCGATAATGCGGCCCACGCAATTAGGCTGGCCAGCAAATGAGATCACTTCTGGACATTAGCTCACTTTTCACTTTTGTGGCCTTTTTTGGCCTCACTACCTCCGACCACCCACGCCAAAGATTCGCAGCTATCGGCCAGAGCGAAATGACCAAAATTGGCCAGTGGAAAGCATGCCAACAGGTTGGCGCGACAACTCTCTGGGCCAAGTTCATTGGCCGCAATTTGTTGGTCGGTAGGGCTGGTGGATGGTGGATGGCCGATTGCAGATTGCCCCGCTTTTGCCTCTGCCTTTGCTTTTGCGCTTTTTGCTGGCAGCGATGGTAGCGCCAAGTCGAAATCCCATTGTCTGCCTGTCAACTGTCCGCCGGCTGGACATCGATGAGGGACCGCATCAAAGTCACCAAAACGATATTTTTTTGGAACGCATATAGAGGCAGCCTTTTGTCCCGGGCGTGCGCCTGTCATAAGTTTGGCCCCCGAGAACCACAATCCCGAGCGGGCTAACCCACGTCCCAGGGGTCAAATGTTTGGGATACCCTAACCGACGGAGTAATACCACTTTCGGATCAAATGACTTTTGCAAAAGTAAGATATTTATTTAGTTTCCTACAGCTGCAACCATTATTTAAAGACCAAACTAACGATTTAATTTATGTTTTACTCAATTTTGCTATTCATTTTCCCAATGTATTTAAGTTTAAGCTTTTGTTTAAATATTCCCTTTTTAAATTTTCGAGCTCCTACGTTTTGTTTTTTGGCCTGGTTGGGTCAAATATTTCATAAGATTTTGTGTCTTGGCCAAAGATCGTGCTGAGATCGTGATTTAGCGCCGCGATGTTGATGCTTTTTGTCTGATTTTGATCGGGGGCTTGGTTAGCTAGTGGCCAGGGAAGTCTATTTGAAAAATGTGAAAAATTTCATATGCGGCCCCCAGATCGATGGAAAGCAGCAGGAGCAAATGCAGTGGCATTATGTAAGTTTGCGTGTGAAAATTGGTCATTTGAAAATGCCAAGCCATTGGCCACATTGCAACGACTGGGCCAGAATCCGCAAGGAGCACGCATCAATTGTTTGGGGCGGAGTGGAAGCCAGTGGATTGTGGGTAGCTGGGCCAACTGGTGGCCAGCCTCCTTTGAATGCAATTGCGGCGGCAAATTAACATTTTATGAAGCCGAAAACAAAGGGAAACGCGGAATCGTGGGCTACCGCGCTTACACAACGCCGCCAAAGCGGCCAAACAGTTGGCTTAAACAGACGGGATCTGGCCAAAAACAAGAGGATCTTCGGCTACTGTTCTAGAGATGAGCCAGGCAACTTGCCGGGCACAGTGGTGTGATTCTTGAAAAGAACTCAATATTTGTTACTATTTATAGGTGCTACTTTAATGCCTCAAAAAGAGGTAAATGAAACTACAGATTAAGGCTCGTAACTCTCAGTCTAGAACTGTAAGAAAATGTCCCAAAACCATTCTTATACCAATAAGGAAGCACCTTCAGTTTCAACTTGCTTTTTTTTTTTTAGGAAAATCTAATAGGAGTCTTCCCTCTAGCACTGCGTCACTGTGCCGATGGCCAGATGACGATAAATCCCCCTCTTACTGGAGGCCAAACAATGCCAGAGTTCTTAGGGAACCTTAGGATTCCGTCGCAACTGAATCCCCGAAGCATTTATTAATTGCACATGCGCTGGAAACGTGGCCCAATGTCAACATCCCAATTGCACCGGCAATCGTGGTTGGGATGCTATAGGGGTGGGGATTTGGACAGGGATTGGAAAGTGGGTATTCCTCCGTCTCGATCTTACCTTCTTCATGATGCCAGTCTTGCGCTTGGAGAAGGTCGTGTAGCGACGCAGCTTGTTGTCGATGTATTCCATTTTGATTTTGACACGTCCCTTTGTCTTTTTGCCATTGGCGGGCGGTGATTTCTTATTGGGCAGCGGGTTGTAGTTGTCCACGCTATCATCGACGGCTCCACTAGCCACGTTGTCGAGCCCTTGGAGGGTGAGTCCTCCGGAGGATCGGTGATGATCTTCGTAGCAATCGCTGCCGGACCGCTTGAGCCCGCGTTGTTGTTGCTGTTGCTGTTGGGGATGTTGCTGCTGCTGCTGCTGTTGATGTTGCTGCTGCTGTTGTTGCTGTTGCTGCTGCTGCTGTTGCTGGGAGGCGTGTTGTGGGCTGTGGAGCGTTTGGCATTGGGTGGAGGGAGGTGCTCCCGAGGCGGGGTTCGGCCGCTGCATTGGCGGCACCCCGCCCATGTTCTGCAGCAGACCGCCGGAGGGCGGACGACCCGCCCCCAAGGCGGAGTTGCCGTACATATCCGCCGGATCCGCCAGGCTTAACCCGATACTACTCATCGAGTAGTTGAGGTTGTAGCGCGAGTCACCTCGCGTCGGATCCATTCTGAGGTAAAAGTTCTCCACCGTGGAGCCGTAGAAATCCAAGGCACCGCGCGCGTCTATTATTGCTGTTGGGTTTTGGGTGCTGAAAATCTGAATATCTGAAAATCCGGCCGCGGCACACTTTCAGATCAGATCGCTTTATATTCCAAAAATAAAACTACGCACAAAACACTCAGCGCGCGCGTTTCGCTGGCGTTTTTTGGCTGCGGCGAGCGCGTTTCTGGGGCGGATTTTATGCCCGGCTGCCTGGGGGCCGAGTTCTGAGCCCGAATAACCGCACCAAGTGGCCAACAACCCGGGTTTTTTCGGCCAGGAACGCGAATTTTAAGGTTTTTAAGTGCAACGCCGACGTTTTGCAACACGCACACGCACACACTCGCACGCACACACACACACAGGAAAATTGACAGCTGACAGTCCTGCAGTGTTGGAATGTGGCGGAAATCCAGGGATGCAGCAGCTGAGTGTTGCGAAGTGGCGGGCTTTGGCGGCAAATTTGAAGTTTGTGGCGGAAAATAAAGTTCTTGTTTGATTTTTGTGTGTATTTTAATGCTTTATGTATTATGGCTTTAAGTTTCTCTAAGACTTTTCGTTTATATTTAATTTATGTCTCATTTGCCATTTATTCAATATAAATTGTTTTTTTATTTAATGTTTGATGGTTTTTAAAATTATTAATGGAATAGTTCACAGTTGACTTTTATTTAGTTGCTGTTTTACTGAACTCACTCGCAAGTTTTCTCTTAGTTTTTCGTAAGTTTATTTAATTTCTCGTTTGTCTTTTTATGGTCTTTTTTATTTAATTAAGTTTAGTTTGTAGGTTTTAAAGTCTTCCTCTCGGAGTCTCCTTGTCTTGGTTTATGGCCGTTTTAATTTCCGATTTTGTTTGAATAAATTCAAAGTCTTTTTGGGGAAATCCTTTTAAATTGGTTGTGATTTCGATCAGTTATGGGAAGTATTTGTGTTTTGCGAGTTCCGAATGCGCTGCATTTAGTGGGCTTATTTGTCGCTAGGCACTTGTTTGGGCTGTTTACTTTATTTGTGGCGACTTTATTGTGGATCATTCCAAATACGACGGGACGGGCTAAACTTGCGATCGATGTGCTTCAGATGGCGTGTAACTATTAAATGAAATGAAAATAAACTTCGGCGTGGATATCCATTCGATATTCCAAACTTGGACGAACCGGTTTTCTCTTTCCGCAAGAGAGTCCCCTCTCGCAGCCGCTCTTCGAGTTGAAGGAAAGAGAGCCCTGCCTATGTATATAGAGAAACCCTCTATTTATTCGCTCGTTTTTGTGCTGTCTTTCATTTTGCAGCTGGCTTTATGGCTTAATTAATTAGATGGCCACGCCCCCACTTGCATACTCATTCGCTGCGCACGCGCATAGATCGGGGATCTCGATTTCGGAGGAATACATACGGCCCTCTCAGCTCCTCCCCCTTTGGAAAACTCGTGATGAGTTTTGTAATTACCCGGATCGCCATTTTATCGTGCTTTTCGCTTATCAGCTCTGTTAATTTACTTAATTTGTGATTTTGTAATTTCTTTTTTTTGGGATCTTACAACCTCTTTTCTGCGGGCACTTCAAGTCCCCACTGAGAACAACAAAAACAGCAACAACAACAGAAGCAGTGGCAGCCACAAAAAGCGATACACTTAAACTATGCCAGGAATTTTTTAGCCGCGGCCAATATGGTCAGAATGCTCTAGAGGATTTGCGTGGTGGGCCCACTTGTACACAGGAGCACGAGTATTTCGCCATGTCCTTAAATAGAGGTTCGCAAGAAAATTCAGCCAGGCGAAGAGGGGGCGGAAAGGGGCCATACAGTGGGCATGGCCACGTGCAGTGACTAACAGATAGCAGGAGATACTATAGTATAGTAGGCTCAGATAAATCGATACACTCACTGCGCCCCGATCCCAGTCGAAGATGATGCATTCCCCCGGCTGCAAATGGTCATCGTTGCCTTTTCCAGTCATCGGTGTCGTTGTCGCCAGGTTGTCTCTTCCGCGAATAAGCCAGGTCTTCGGGTCTCTGATTCCAGGACTAGGACCATCCACCTCCCGTGCCCCCTCTTGCATTTAATTAGAATGAAATATAGGAACTCGCGCGGCTCCTCGATGGTTTGTCTACCTGCCCGGGCTGCCTAATGATTTAAATTAATCATAATGACTGTCAAAATAGAACGTTTGCCGCTGGCAGCGGATCATATAAGGATCGATCCGCGCAGCGGGGACCCGGTCTTGGGGTTCATCTGCCTCTAGGACACTGAGCGAAATTTGGGTTGATTTTTAGTGATTTAGGTTCGATTTTAATAATACGTTGAGAGGGACTTTACCTTTCCAACAGATCAAATCATTGAAATCATCTTTCATCTTAACTTCTTAGATTCTAAGATGGATAGCTTTTTACTTTCTGAAAAACAGAAAATCCACTTCAAATCTCTAAGTAAAATCTGTGTTATTTTAATATTTTTAATAAATTACACTTTATTATTAGTAAAATATAGGCAAGACTTCTGAATATTTCTCCCAGTGCATATCGAAGGAGCTCCTGGTCCTATTGACATTTCATCATACTCACACGGCCTGTGCTGGCTAGTTGGCTGGTTGGCTGCCTAGCTTGTTGGCTTCTTGGCCTGGTCTAAGGTTCTCACAATTGTAGACGCGTTCTGTGCAGCGCTTACTAATTGGTTAGTTGGCTGCAGGCTGCAGTTTTCAGAGTCTGCAGCCCGTGGCCCGCCAACCAGATCCCCTTTCACCGCCCCTTTCTCCGGGCTCTCCGATTGGAGACCACTGGCTCCAGTGCGGCTGTCTTTCTAGGCGATCGTCAGCCTGTCTGGCCGAGAAGCCGAATAGCCTTCTGGCCCAGCTGGGAACAACTGCAACATGCTGTATTTTTTGCCATCGGATTTTCCACGGAATTCTCCTCAGCTGAACATTTCTAATACTTAATTATTGGCCAGCCTTCGCTCGCCGTTCTACGTGCATTTATTTGAGACATGGCGAGGAGGAGGCTGCTCCTGTCCCTCAAATTACGCCTTACGTAATCCTTCACGGAGGAGAGTTCACCTTCAAAACGCTGGACAGATCATCCACAGAGGTGTTTGCCTAAGTATATTCCCGAAAGTATTTATATCTCGGGAGGAACTGTTTGTTCCATTTACGATCTCGAACAGCTTTTTGATTTGCCGTTTTGGTTTTAGTTTGGCCCATGCAGCTAGCCATCGCCATAGCCATAGCCATAGCCATATATATATATATATATATAGACATTTTTACTATTTATAGAGCTTCTTGGGCATTTGCCTTAAGCCAAAGCAAAGTGTTTTAAATAGTCGAAATATGTAAATACATTTTTTGTCTTTTTTAGTGGAATGATGTGGGAAAGTGGCTGCGAGATGTTGGATTAGGATTTGGATGGAAAAGAGGAGGGATTTGGTGGGAATTCGATAGGGGGATCACTGCATGGCTTGGAAGACATAAAAGATAAACTAGGCTAACACTAAGTTGCAAATTAAGTAGAACTTAGTTAGATTACCATTAAGAGGGAATGAGCAGTAAAGGGGTAAGTAGCTTGCTAAGGCAAATGAAAATGTAATCGAGGGAAAAACACAACAGCCAATTCCCCAAGTATTATTTTGATTTGAAAATCTATTATCTGAAAAACAAGCTGGCTGATTTACACACTCGGACTGCAGAGCCCACTCCTTATACAGATGGGAGCCGAGATCGAGCCAATGAATATATCTGATTGAATCGAAGAACGTGGCACATGTGCGAGCTGCATGATCGCCAGAAACCGAGAGACCGAGAAACTCAGAATCTCAGGTGTCTAATTGGGCGCTGGGGTGACAATGAACCACTTAACCAAGCCAGCTCCAGCTCCAGCTCCAACTGCACTAAGCCAGGCCAAAGCCAGGAGATTGACAAAAGCCGGCAGAGAAAACCGCCAACGCCAGCTCAAAAGTCGAACCAATTGGCAATTGGTACAGGCGATCGCAATGTTTTTTGCCTCATGAATAACGCATAAGGGGTAAGGATTGGGTTGGGATCCACATCGGCATCGTCATCGTCATCGGCATCAGAATCAGGATCGGGCTGACTTGGCTTGGCCGTTCGAGGTTTCGGGGCAATTGTCTGGCCGTTTGTGTTACAATTTAAATAAAATTGAGGCTCCCTTGGAGAAAACAAAAGGAAAAGCAGACATCACTCGGGGGTTTTGGGGTGTGGGTTTTCGGTTTTCGGATTTCAGTTTTCGGTTTTCGGTTTTCGGTTTGGTTTTCTTTTGAGGTGAAGTACAAGTACCGTTCTGGCACTGGCACAGGAAACAAAAGCACCGCTACAATCATAAAACGATTAACAGGTCGTGACCGTTTCACCTGATTACCGGTAGTCCACCTCATTTGCATTCACGGCGGCCACTCGCGGCCACTTGCGGCCACTTGCTGCCACTGTGGCAAGTGCAGGAAGCTCGGAAGTCCCCTTCCCTTCCTCTAACCTTCCTCTTCCCAGCTCTAACTTCCTCGCCTTCCGCGCATTTTAATTCACTCAATATTTAATTATGAAAATCAAAAGGCAGACAAAGATTGGTGCGTGCTTCGCATGGAAGTTGGCTTTGATATGTCTTTTTGGCCAGAAGTCGAGCTGCAGACCAGGGGCCTACTAACTCGGGGCCTCTACAAATTAGAACAGAATTATCCCACGCATCTCGGATAATGTACGCGAAATACTTGATCGATTGCCAGCGATCTATAGTTTGTTGTTCTCGTACTCCGACTGACAACAGCAACAACAACAACAACGATGCCAGACAAGGAGGACCGTCGCAGACAGTCGAGGAACCATCAGAGCTCAGCAGCTTGGGATCTGCGGATCGTCGATGGCACAACAAATTTCAGCGCGTAGAACGGTAACTTATTTTTTCTTACCCGCTAACTAAGGGGTATGCTGGGTAGCTTGGGTTAAAGGTGATTTGGGGATACTGTTGCAGGCTTTGAATAAATTTCCCACTCCCTGCCACCTCTAACTATCTTCTACCTTCTTCTCATCAATACTAACAATTCACTTCTCCATTTCATGTTGAAGTTGAAGCTGGAAAAAAGATCTTCTTAATGGAAATAATATAATTGTAAGGGTAATAGGATACAAATACAGAGGTATTCGCTAGTCGATTCCGTCCATCACCTGACTGGGAACCACTTATTGTCAAGCTGTGCAGAAGCTAAAGTTGGAGTAGGAGGAACAGCCGGCGGAGGAGCAGCCCGAGGAGGAGGCTCACACAGCGATGTCTCCAGTTTGGCTGTGATAAAATGTGCGTAAGTGATCAGTTGGAAGACAACGACTCGGGATCGAACTCGGAAACTCGGACTGAGATTCAGACTGGCACTGCGACTTGGGGTTAAAATTCCTGGACTTTGCGATTCTTCGCGTTTTTTGTGCTGCTGTGCTGCTGTGCTGCTGGGCTGCTCCTCTCCAGCTCCAACTCTCTCGGCACTCGGCACTCGGCAGCATTTTAAAATTACAAGTATGTAATTTTGCTGAAATCAAGCGCTCATATGAAAATTCCACTGGCAGTGCAGAAGCTGTCGATCGATCTGGATTCGAGATCTCGCGGAGATCGGGCAATTGTGGAGCATTTTTAATTTGTGCCCGTGCACTTTTGCCTGGAAATCAGAGCACTGTAGTGCCCTGGATGGGGATGGGAGCAGAGTGCAGTGGAAGTGGACTGTAGACTGTAGACTGGAGACTGCAGACTGCGGACTGTGCGACCTTATCGCGCCCACTGTGCACAAATGCACACACAAAATGTCAATTCTGCGCACGTCGCTTCACCAGGCATCCCAATCAGTCGTGGCCGGGCCACCATATGGCCCCCGATCCCCGCCAGAACCTGGAGAGGGGGTGGACCAGCTCCTGGCCAGGCTCCTGCGACTTCTGCTGGCCGGCCTTTGCTGGCTGGCAGCTCGTCATCATTATCTCTGCGCTCTGCCAACATCACAAATAATATGAGGAAAGCACAAAAAGGCCAAGACGGCCCAGAGCCCGAAGAGCCACGGCCACAGACTTTTGGCCTGCAAATAAACTATTTCAATCAATGCGTTTGTCGTCGGGCCATCGATCGCATGCCAAAGGTAGTTAGGCATCCTACAGGATGACTTGTGGGCTCTCCAACTTGCTTCTTTGAGGTATTTTTCGATGGGCGGGGATGGAAATGGGCCCAAAGGTGAGAGGCAGCCATAAATACTTGAATTTTCTTTGGGGAATTTTGCGGATTTTTGTTCATTCCGTTGGAAATATTTTATAAAGCTGAATTTGTAAATTGTATGTTTTGTTTATCTAAACTTAATGGTTTAATTAATTCATAAAGTAAAGTTTTTAAATTTTTGAATTTCATTTTTATTGGCGCTACTAAATAAGCAGTGTAGCTTTGGCAAGCAGTTACCCACTTACAAGCAGTAAGCATACGCCTGAGGAACTGCTAAGCTAGGTGGCGCCACGAAAGTGATCGAGTCGGTATTATCAAGCAGTTTACAATCAGATTGATTGTTCACTGCTTAACAGCGGCTTTTTAAAAATTGCCCGCCAAATGAATTACAAATTTAAGCTAGTTTTAAGTTTTTTTGTAAATTTTCCACGGGCAATATTTAAAATTGAAGTATTTTGGTTTTATTGGGGAATATTTCTTTAACCTACAATAAACCTACCTAATTTGTTTTTAAATTCGAAAATCGAAATAAAAATAAATTTTAATAATATTCTTGTAACCTTTAAGATCTGAAAACTAGCTTAAATTAGTTTTATTATTATTTTAAAATATAAATAGGTATAACTTAATGTCCTTAAATGACTCCCTAAGCATTCTTCAACCCTTTAAAGCCCCCTCTTCCACTGACTCATCGCTTTACATACACTTTCCTTCCAAAATGCACTTTCCACAAACCCCATTTAGTGAAAACACCAATGATTTCCACTTAATCGCAGTGTACTTAACACCATTTAGAATGCAGCCAGTTCGACGACCCCAAACTCTTCTCCAAAGGGGATTCTCGGGCTTTGTGCTTCGGCGCTGTAATTCTGACTCTACTTCCACAGAAGCGGGCCCGCTCCCTGTTCACCTTGTCCGCCTTGTGCTGATGAGTACAGAAATCGACCAAATTTAGTGCTGATGCCAGGCGATTCGGCAATGAAAGTCGGCTCTTCGGCGAAAACTTTTCGCTGGCCGGTGCTTAGAAGAGTCTTCCCTACGAATAGGGGCGTGAGAATAAGTCCGGCGAGTCATCCAATCGCCTCGGGTTCATTGCGATCGGGTTCAGGTTTAAGGAAGTGCAGAACTCAATCAGCTACGCGTCACCGAGATAAGGTGACTCCAAATCCGATGGCAAAGCAAAACAAAAGCAAAGCGAACTCGCTGCCTAGAAATCATTGGCCAAAACCCTCGACTGTGGCCGTGTTTGTAAACACAATTTCTGTCTGATTTTTCGCATGTGTCAGACAACTTTTCGGCAGAGTGCAACGAACGGCACTCTCGAGTTGGGAGTTAAGAGCTGTGAATTGCGGCTGCTACTCGTATTTGTTTTGTTTACGCGCATTCGCGGCTTTTGCCCGTCTTATCAGTCGTTTGCCAAAAAATGTATAAATACAACTTTCGGGCTCTTTGCGCGTGGTCGTCGTCGACGGGCAGATAATCACGCCTACGATTTCCCTCTGGGAAAAGAGTTAAAACAGATCAAGGTGATAAAAAGGCGCCTTATCTTAGGACTTTCACTAGGTTTAGTTTCAATAAGTTTATATATTTGGTTAACATAGGTCTAAGCAGGGGAAACTATTTGTAGGCGGATGGCATTTGCATATTTTAATCTTATCGGGGATAGCACATGCCTTGTTGGTAAAAGGGTGTTAAGACTGTATTTAACTTGCTAATATAAACAAATTTGAAATTATCATGAAAGAAAGCTGAGTAAAACGTTAATTATTTAATAGTTTAATTAATACCTCTATTATTTGATATAGAAAAACAGATCTCTTACAGGGCTTTTACATAGATATGGTTCCAAATTAAAGTCACCTTAATAACCTCTTAAAAAGTAGATAAATAGGTTATTTATTATCCTCATCAAATACTTCATTGTTTGAGTAATTTCTTAGTACAATAAAAGGATTCCTATAAAATATGGTTTATTTTATTATTCAGTAGGTAGTTTCCCCATCAACAATCTGATAAGATAAGAACGATCAGAAGTGGATCTTGCCTCATTTGAATGTCGGATGTCATCACAGTTAGCAGCTGATAAGCCGTGATCGATATCGGATCAATTCTTGGGTAACTTCACCCCATATTGCAATCCCCAAGAACAATAAGGGTGCAGTTGAGAGCGTTTTGAAATACAGCGTAATTATGAGACGCACAAGGAAGCGCTTTTTGCACAATCTCGATGTAGTCATCGATATCGGCGATATTTCCAATTCGATTGCAATTGCTTGACTGATAAGCGGCGAGGAAGAGAGGCGGTCCTGTCATCGACATCGCACCACCAACGTCTTATCGTCCACTGCGCACGGGGCGTATGATTAATAAAATCCGAATAAACAAAAGGTAGACACACAGAGCGAAGAGGGGCTGAGGAAGGGGGCGCAAAAGAGAGGCACACCTTCGGAAAGTAAACGACAACTTGACCCAAATTACAGACTCGAAAACTCGGGAGGCAGGAGGGAGAGAAAGACTGCGAGCAGAAGAGAGCGCGAAGAGAGCGACGGAGACAACTTTTACAAATCGCTGCATTTAAATAAACAAAACTACGAGGCGTGCTAATTTTTATGAATTTCATAACATTTCATTTTAATTTTAATAAGACGGCGCTGCGTATTACGTGAAAGCTCTCTGATGCGTTGCTTTCCGACTGCGAAGTCACGCATGCGCGCCAAAAGTAAGCCTAAATCCCCGACATCCCCCAAAGCCAACTGCATTTCTGTATTTCTAAGGCGAAAACGAAAAAAAGTCTAAACACAAATCGGAGTGGGCAAGGCCTGGAAGGCAGGGGTCGGGGGTTGGGGGTTACGGTGCGGAGTGCCGGTTTATGCGGGCGTGGTGTTGTTGTTTCTTCTCTGCGTATAGCTTTTGCTGCCTCTTCTCCCAAAAAAGCAAAAAGCAAACGAAAATGAAAGCGAGAGCACAAAAAATAAACGAAGGCAGCGCAGTCGACGCTTGCTTCTTTCTTGGTGTTTGTGCTTCTTCGCGTGGCTGTGTAGGTGTCTGCTGGGTCTCCCTTTGTGTGACGTCACGCGATCGAGCGAGTAACGGTGCATTGAGTTTCTTGATGAAATACTAAACTGCGTATTTTACGATGGTATGTATTTTTAACTTAAGATATAAAAAATAAAAACCCACCAAAACATGATGAAAACTATAAATGAAATATATAAAATCCTTTCCTAGTTAATAAATATTTATTAATTATTCATAAAATGTGTTATAAATATAATCAAAAAATGGCAGAGTAAGAATTAGAATTACAAAACTATTTAAAACTATTTATTCCCACTTAACGTTTAACTGCATATACTAAAGTTTTGTGTTAAAATACAGTAAAATACAGTAAAGTACAGTAATATCTAGTATGTGCCGAAAAGCCACAGCTAAAGCCCCAAAATGCATATTATTTACGCTTAATGGCTCACACTCGGACGCTTGCCTGCGGCAGTAAAAACAAGAACTTGCCAAGTGAACTGCCTTGCGACGAGAGTAAAAGTGATTGGGAAAAACTTTTGCTTTTTTACCTGATCTTGGCTCTCGCTCTCATCCACAGGTAGTTGCTTTGCTCTTGCTTTGCCTTTGCTCTGGCTTTGCTCGTGCTCTGCCGTTGCTTTTGTTGTAAAGACGGCGCAGTAACGGCGACGTCGACGTTTTGGCGTTTTGGGGTTTTTAATGGGGAGCGGTATAAGTGTGTGTGTGTGTGTGTGTGTTACATGCGCTGCCCGCTCATTTTCTTTTTTCTTCGGCTGCGTCGCTGCGCCAAAGACTTTTTCACTTTGCCGCGTTCGCGTTCGCGTTTTGTCACAGTTACAATTTACCATTTGTCGGCGACGGACGCGCGCTCTCCGCTTAGCCAAGTAAAATTGAAAACCGAAGAAAAGCTCGCTCAGCTAACGGTTCTTCAGGAGCGTTTCTAACACCACTACAAACGCCGCCAACAGCAGTCGTCGGCCCGTCTCGTATAAAATCTGTTGCATCACTGCTGCGGCACTTCAGTCGTTCGAGCGCGTGCGGCCGGAGAAGTGCAGTTTACAAACACGAAATAAAAATCAAAAATCAAAAGCAAAAAATAAAATAAACATATTAATAACAAGAACTAAACAACAAGCGAAAATGCTTGGCTGCAGTGACCACTTAGGCAGCCTAAAATGAAGCTTAAAATTTAACCAGAAATTGGGAAAAAGAACTTTGAAAACATTTCCAAAGACCCGCTTACCTCAGTGCAATGCTTTAGGCCTTAAATTTAAATTTTGATTTAAACCGAAATCTGAACTCTAAAAAACATCCAAAATTAACGCTCTACAAGGCATCAAGATTTTACCCTCCTTCGCGCAACTGAAAATGCTGAACATGGAGTCGCCGCAGATGTACGCCGATGCCGTTCAGACATTGGCCCAGCTGGACCTCAAGAAGGAGCCCCCGCTGCAGCAGGCGACCATTGGCCAAATAACCCTGACGGCCATGTCCACGGCACAACAGCAGCAGCAACAGCAGCAGCAGCAACAACAGCAGCAACAACAGCAGCAACAGCAGCAGCAGCAACCTCAGCAACAGACAACCGATGCCAACAACAACACTTCCCAGGATGCGGCCCTTCTCGTTAAGCAGCACGCCATGCATCAAATGCAACAGGTTGCCGCCTTGGGCAGCAACAACAACTTGCTGCAGAAGCAAATGTTGCAGCAGTACACAACCCAAACGGACCTGGACGAACTGACCACCCAGGAGATAACCCTTGACCTGCAACACCTGATCGACGATCAGTTCAGGGATACGGAAACGCTGGGCATCTTCAGCGACATGGTGACCAGTCCAGGTGGTCTCTCGGCCACTCTACCGCCCAGCGGAATGGTCTCGGCTGCGGCGAAGGTCCTGCAGCAGCAAACCCTGAGGAATCAGCACGGATACGTGGGCAGGGGAGGTGGTGGAGGAGGAGGTGGAGCGCTGGCCTACATGCCACAGCCTGTTCATGCCACCTACAACAATTCCAGCGACGAGAACAGCTCCGTGGGCTCCGATTCCAGTACGATCAAGGAGGAGCCCATAGATCCGGAGTACAGAAGACACCTCCAGGAGGCTGCCAACCAGCAGGCTGCCTTTATGGGCAACGGTGGAGGCCTCTACAACGGCTATGGAGCGGGAGCTAATGGACTGTCCGGAGGAAACCCCCTCAACGGAGGCAACACCACTCCGAGCAGCAATGGGAGCAACGGCAGCACGGGCAGCAGCAATGGCAGCCAGTTCACCAACCTGACAACCGCCAATGTCCTGGCCCATCACAACCTTCCTCACCTGGCAGCCGCTGCAGGAGCCCAGCATCTGCTGAAGCAGCACAGCAAGTTGCATGCACAGCAGCAACATCAGCAGCACCAGCAGCAGCAGCAGCATCGGAAGCACAGCAACAAGCATGTGGACAAGGGCACGGATGAGTACCGGAGGAGGCGGGAGAGGAACAACATTGCCGTGCGGAAGAGTCGGGAGAAGGCCAAAGTGCGTTCGCGGGAGGTGGAGGAGCGGGTGAAGAGCCTGCTCAAGGAGAAGGACGCCCTCATCCGGCAGCTGAGCGAAATGACCAATGAACTGCAGCTCCACAAGCAGATCTACATGCAGCTGATGAACCACGCCAATCCCGAGGTGAGCCGCGTGTGCCGCAGCTTCCTGAACACCAATGAGCACTCGCTGTAGCAGATACAAAGATAGTGTCCTTTGGGCATGAGAATGAGTGTGTGTGACTGCCTGAGTGTGTGAGTGTTTCAGTCTGTAAGTCTGTAAGTCTGTAAGTCTGCGTGTGTGTGTGTGTCTAAGAGAGACTCTGTTAAATCAAAGATTCAAAATGCTGTGTGGGTAGCTCGTAAGAACCATTTTCCTTCTGCTATTCATCGTCTTGGTAAGCGGTCGTAGATGATGCAGCGGCAAACGATATTCACCTGAGCTTACCAGCCGCTTCATCGTTTACGACCTTCTCAAACTCTTCTGCCGCAACGTCTGGCATTCCTTTGTACATTTACTCTGCTCCCCCTCTACGCCCCCTTCTTGTTATCATTGTAAAGCATATTTTTGTACTTAATTCTTAACGACTGTAACATATATTTCGCACATTTTTATACATAATCTTATACATTATTATCTTATCATAAAGTTAAGCCAAAGAAAAATGTTAAAAATATTAATGTAAAAAATAACACGCAGGAAGAGAAAACGGAAAATACAAAAAGCTAAACTTATTTATACATCTAATGCAGATTTGTACATTTCTTGATTGGTGTGCGGCCTTGCTCTATGCTTAACGCCACGCCCACTCCTAGCCCAGCCCTGCTTGAAAACACAAACATTAGCAAATCTCTAGTTTTAAGCCCGGAACATCAAGTAACCGCTTTACCTGCACAAAATCCCCGAAAGAGAAGAACCTGCCCGTAACCCTTAACCCTTATCTAGCGAATCCGAGGAGTTCGCTTTCGAGAGCGCAGAGATATGAATGCTATTAATTTGTAAGGCCAACGCAATGTTCTCATTTTAATTTATATATCGTAAATTAAATATACACAAACAACAAAGAAAACTGTAAAGCAAATCTAAATAAATTAAATAAAATTTACAACATACAAAGAAGCTCCTTGATGCCTTTTTACTACTAATCTTAATCAATGCATTTCAGGTGTAGGAAGTTGTCTTAATTGTTTCTGCAATTCAATCTTAGAGAACGCCCTTTGATTGACAACCTTTATAGCCTTGCCCAGAAAATTATGTTTTCTGATTTCCACAATTCAGGCCCCAAAGTGCAATTAGCCCAAGACACAATATGAAGTGAAAAGCCCTGCCAAAAAATGTCTAATTAAATGTCGGCCATATTTAGGCGACAAAGCGATCTGTTGGGGCCGAAGACCAGAAAGAGACGCACCACACCAGCAAGAAGAGAGAGCGAAAGAGGGAGGCAGTGTCTTTCTTCTGGGCCGTCTTCTGTCCTCCGTCTTATGTCTTCCGATGGGACAACCAAGACAAGGCAATGCATTTCGGGCTGCCAGGCGCGACAGTCGACACACCAGGGAGGCCAAAGGGAATGCGGACCCCAGACAATCGCAAGGCGGTCGTGTTGACACAATTTGACAGTAAGACAAACCCGAAACGAAAAGCAAATTTATAAACGACAAAGCGAAAAAGAATTAATGCAACTCGAGAAACCGACAAATTAACGCGCCAGAGAAAGCCCAAACAAAAAGCCCAAAGCCCAGTGCCCATTGCCCATTGCCGAGTGCCCATTGCCCGTTGCCCATTGCCCAAACCCCAAAAAGACGCATGGGCCAGATAATCACTTACAGACATTTGGGTTCGAGCTAAGCCCTTTCGGTTAAAACTTTCTTTCCATCTGTACCCGAATCTTGGTCAACTGCTGCTGCGTGCGCCCAATTTGTCTAGCTGCATTGTTGAGCACTTTGATTGATGAAAGCTAATTGCGCATGCACTCCAGCCGAAGGAAAAGTGAAACTGCCTCGGACTTGTGGGTGTCGCCTGGTAGCCGCACAAACCACAGACCAAAATCTCAATTTAAGCCCGACTTTGATAAGGGTTCTAATCAGCTTACGGTGAAAGTTCCGCAGATGCATCTGCGTTTTGGCAGGCGCACAAAAATTGCCGCACAATTACTGCCAAACTAAGCGCCGCGACCACGAGGCGTATGAGTTATGAGCGGCGGCAGCAAAAAGTGATAAATTCGCCACTGCAACGCCCAGATGGGGCAGCAAGCACACTTTTTTCTGTCTTACCTGGCCGAGGCGCTGATAAATGCTAATTGTCGCTGTACGAGAAATGTTGATGGGCCTCAGACTCAGAATGAATTAGGGAAGAGAAGGGAACTTAGATTTATGTTTTTATGATCAATTTAATCAAGTAGATGCTATCTGTACTTGTAGAAAATTCGAACATCTTAAAAAGATTATTGTATATTTTTATAAGGAGTTACATTAGTTTATATATACTTGAAGGGTGGAACCTGAAAAGTTATCAAATGAAAGTTATGAAAGACATAAGAAAGAAAGAATGGCATTGGATACAGCAACTATGCTTTGCCAAGCTATCCACTAACTTAACAAAGATAATATAATAATAGTGGTAAGTAGGTAGCAGTAATACTACCTATCTTGGATACGATAGTTGGTTACATGAATCAGTTAAAGAAATTTAAAAGGGATAGTTAAAAAGATGAAAGATTGGACCCCTTCGATCAGCGTCACTTTCGGTTTCTTTGGCTTCGGTAGTGAGGTGAACAGCTCCAGCTCCAGCTCCAGCTTCACTCCAAATCCCGATCCATCTCGATTCAGTTGTCATCCAATCCATCTTTCACACTCCAGTTCCACTTTGTCCGCTCCGCATTGTTGTGCCTCCATCATCTCGGCTCCTCATCTCCAGCTTTAGCTGCAGCGACTATAAAAACCATAACGGAAAAAAGTGGGTTACTTCATTTTTATTTTCATGCCCCAAGAAAGAAACAGATAGAAAGAGAGAGGGAGAGATAGAGAGAAAGAGAGAAAGAGAGACCGACTTTACATCTATCCATCTATCTTTATTTTTTCTTTTTAGCACAGATTGAGTAATAGTTAGTTGTTTGGCTTATATCTTAGAGCCAGGCTTCGTTCCCTCTCTTTTGTGTTGGTATTCGCCTGGCAACGACGATCGTGTGGCCAACACAGTGGTTTCACTTTCTATGCCGACTTCGGCTGCGACTGCGACTGCGACTGACTTTTGCTATCTAATACAGCCGCCGCTACAGCAACAATGGGGCATCTAGTTGCACCGGGAGAAAAGGTTTTATATTTAAAATGAATAAATCTGAACGATGATAGATAGTTTGCCTTGTCAACCTTTCATAAAATGGGTAACCTTAATCAGCAGTAACTTTTGAACTCAGCTATCTCAACTGTATTTCTCTCAGTGCAGCAACAACAATCGCCGCAGCGCGCTCACCTCTTTTTCTTCGCGCTTTGTTGTTTTCTTTCCACAATACATTGACTATTTTCTTTTCCACAACGCGGTACGCCATAGCCATAGCCATCGCCATCGCCATACGCCATACGCCATGTTGGCCGCAGAGTCTAAGACCCAGACTCGAACCCAAGCCCGGCTGAAACTCTGGCTGGGACTCAGCTCCACTCTCGGCTGGTATCTGCACTTGTATCTGTAGTTGTAGCCAAAGCCATAGCTGTAGCTGTATCTGTATCTGTATCGGTATCCGAGTGTGGGGGTTATGTAATGCCCGACTGCTGTTGTTGCTGCTTTTAAAGATGCCTTTTCTTTTGTTGGGCTGTCTGCTCTGCCTGATGACCAAGTTAAGATATTATGTTCGTTATGTTGCGCTTATTAACGTGGCCCACAAAAATTGTTTAACGTTTTGTTTTGCTTAAACGAATTTTCCGTTATAAATCAAGCAAACCACGCAAAATAGAGACATTTTGTGTGCGATGGCCAGATGGTAAATCACCATCAAAATGGCCCAGCCAAAGTGACCCACAGCCGAAATGATATCCTACCCGTCCCTCCCCTTTGATATTTCTTCCCTTACGCAACTTGTCGAGTGGAAATGCTGTCCATCTACCTTCTCTCGGCCAATCAGTCGGCACTGCCATTTTAAACAATTACCCAGCTCCGGCGGACATTAAAAATAAATAATTTTACGCACAGTAAAAGTATCTCTGGGGAAAAGTGGCCCACCCTTAGGGGAATATAAAAGCGATTTATGGGCCTAGTTGGGAAAGAAAGTGATTGTAGAAGAGCTCAGACATGAGGTATTTGAGATTTCCTACACTTACCTTTTATTAGTAACTAATATTAAGCAAAAGGTTTGATAAAGGTAAGGGGCTCCTTGCTCCCAATGGGGACTTCTTTCTAGCCATTTGATATACAGATCAGATCAGATGCGTTGACTATATGAAACCTATAGAACACTCCCCTCCACATAAAGGCCACCCAAATAAAATAGCAAAGCCAGAAGAAAGCGAGAGGAGGGAGCGAGACAGAGCACAACTAAATCTAAACCACTCACCCAAAGACCCATTGGCCTACTTTTCTTACAGAGCCCAGCAACAACAATAAAAATATAAAAAATGCTAGAAAATAATCTCAACGCCAACACACGCACACATGGCTAATCAACGCGTGTCTGTGTGTTGGTGCGTCAAAATTTACAAGGGGCGCCCTTTTCGAAAAAAGTCGAAAAAAAGCAAAAACAAAAAACGAAAGAAACGAAGTCTTCCAAGAAAGCTGCGCGCTCTTCTATTTTCAGCTGCGCGTTGGCGTCGCCTTCTTTATCAATCTTGCAAGGGGGAGCGGTACGGGGGCGGGGCGGTTACTTATCTTAGGGCAAGACCCGCGTCCGCTGAGCGAAAGAGATGGCTGGCAAAGCAAAGGGCCAGACACTTGTTGCAAGCAGAACGCCCGAAAAAACAGAGCGGCAACAACAAATTGACCCAATTTCTGTACATTTTTTCCTTTACTCCACACAGATACAAGCAACGCAATACAAACAAACCAAATATGCGCCCTGAAGTCGTAAAGAAATATATGAACACAGGGGGAAAAGTGTGCTTGACTTAATATGATATTAAATATGTAATAAAAAATATTAATTAAACTTTTGTATATTGAAATTCCCCCGTCTAAGATCTGTTTACCTGCAACTCTCACTTCCATGTAAGTTACACAGTGTTTTCTACATTATACATTACTTAACAGACAGAATCTCCCTTTTCTCTCCGTGTAAATGGGGCTGAGTGCGTGTGTATAATGCTCCCTTAAAATTGAAATTGTTGTTAATTGTTGTTGCTGTTGGTGTTGCTGTTTGCCGTTTGCTTGGCGGCATTGTTGAGTTGTTTGCAGGGGGGTGCTGAAGTGGGCGGGTGGGCTGTTAGGGGGAGGGGTTCTGCAGCAGCCCAACATCAGAATTCACTTTCAATTTTTCGGTTTTCCTTGGTTGGGCGCATTGAAAGAAATGTTCTTTGCTACAGGAACAGCAACAGCCAGAGCAACAAAAATTTTCTTGACTTTGGGAAAAGTGGGTCAGCAGCTGTAAAATAGACTCCAGCAGACTGGGGCCTCCCTCTTAGAACCCCCCTGCTGCCCCTGTCATACCCTGGCATACCCTCTAATCAAATCGAAAAAGAGAGAAATGTTTGTGCAGTGCCAGAGGAATGTGTCTGGATATGTGTATCTGCGATCTCT